AAACAGACATTATTTACATTTCAATTAGACATTCAATCTCGCATAAAAATAAATAACTTTCATATATTGATTTCCAGTAAACAGTTTTTCTATATCTAAATATTAGTTTAATCCTCACATATACACTTTGGAATGGGTAATTTCGATTTCGATTCTATCAAAATTCGATACTAGATTTATAGAGAGAGATAAAAAGATATTTAGTTTTCAAACACGGCCGATTTGTGAAAAAAAAACACCACTAGTTACACTAATTTTGAAATGAGATTTTTCATAGTTTTATAGAAAAATATCATCAGTTTAATAGAAAAATTAGATATAATAGAAGGTTTTAGAATTTATTCAATGGTACAAATGGTCTCTCTGTCAAAATCTCATTTTATAGCAATAATTCCGTAACCATTTACGTTTACCAAAATGTAAGCATTATTTTGTTGACTTTTATCCAATTGGCATAAAATTTTGTATCCAAAGGGCATAATTTTTTTTAAACCAATTGGCATAAAATTTTGTATCATGAAAATAATGGATATCAATCTCGAATACTAAAATATCGAGAATAGCATACTAGCTTTTTGAATTTATATTTTACTCCTTTTCTTAACAGTTTTATTTTCTGATCCAGTTTGCCAGAAGTATACGTGAATAACAAAAATATTGATAATCGTATATTTAATAATATCAATAACATGAAAAGTATCGAAATTTAAAAAAAATGCCCATCCCTAAATTACACAAGCAACCGAAATTTACTACTCACATAATCAACACTTGTGCTTACTCGTTAGTATAAAGTGTATTTTTATATATAAAATGTAACAGTTAAGTACAAAAAGCTTATAAATAGACTTTTTTAAAATAATAAAATAAAAAATAAATTAGAAATTAATTAAATTAAAAAAATACGAACGATAACCAACGACATTGTATGGACCTTGCACATATTTCTGGATTAATTCGAAAACTCAAAAATGATTCCAGTGAATTATTGAAGGTTTTGGAAAAGGTTTTGATTGAATTTATGTACTTATTTTTTAAAATAAAAGTATATATATTTTGTTTTACTAATAAAAAGAAATCCATTAAAATGATGCAAATGTTGAAAATACAATAACTGAAACGGAGATCAAAAATCTACTTTCTTGATAAACTGCTATTTAATGAAATTAGTATTGAAATTTTCAAGCAAACAATAATGTAGAGATAGACTCTATATTGTAGGGTATTCTGCCGAAGGCTGCATTAAAAAAAATCATAATAGACTAAAACTTGAAGCATTTTATATAAGAAAAAATTACATCTTTGACCAATAGCTATATTTTAAATTTAATATTGAAATTTTCAGGCAAATAATAATGTAGAGATAGACTCTATATTATAGGGTAACCTGCCAAAGGCTGAATTAACAAAAAAAATTATAATAGATTAAAACTTAAAGCATTTTATATAAGAAAAACCTACTGCTTTGAGCAATCATATTTCGTAAATTTAGTTTTAAAATTTTCAAGCAAACAATAATAAAGAATAGGACTCTATATTATACGAGGTGTGTTCAAAAAGTACCCGGAATTACTAATAATTAAATTTCGCGGGTCTGGAGTGTCTGATTGTCAAAAATTTTTTTTATTGTGTTGGTATACATGCCCCTAAAGTATGATGAAATTTTCAGCTATATTCACTGTTTACTTTGTCTGTGGTAGTCGCTAAGGTTCGACGTGTTTTTCTGAGCTCGGCGATTTTTACAATGGAAGAATTGAAAAGTCAAAGAATTTGTATTAAATTTTGCGTAAAAAATGAAATAAAGTGTTGCAAAGTGCAAAAATTCACCAGATATGGCTCCGTGTGACTTTTTCCTATTCCCAAAGTAGAAGAGACCCATGAAAGGACGGCGGTTTTCCTCGATTGAAGAAAATCGCTGAGAGTGCTCAAGGACATATCAAAAAGTGAATATCAAGGGTGCTTCGAAAATTGGAAAAAACGCTGGCATAAGTGTATTATATCTGGGGGGACTACTTTGAAGGGGACCACATTAATGTAGACGAATAAATAAATATTTTTTTGAAAAAACGAAAATTCCGGGTACTTTTTGAACAGACCTCGTAAAGTGATCTGCTAAGGGCTAAATTAAAAAAGAAACTTAAGAAATACGAACTAAACCTTTTGACTAAAAAACTAACTCTTCGAGCAATTGCTATTTTTTAAATTTAGTATTGAAATTTTCAAGCAAACTATAATGTAGAGAATAGAGATAGACCTTATATATTATAGTTACCTGCCAAGAGCTGAATTAAAAAAATAATTTAATACTATCTCTCGTTCAATATAAAGAATTTCCAATTAAGAATTTAAATCTTAATTAAAATAAAAATATAATTAACGTAAAATCATTATAAATTAATTGTCAAAATTCCGACAAACCACCAAACCTCGAATTTCACTGTCTTTACAAAAAACTGCCTGGCTCATTTTATTACCATAAAAATATTCAAAAACTTTTGCTCTCTTTATATATTGCTCATTATTTATAAACTAAAATAAACAATAATAAACTAAATGTTAAATACTGAAAATTAAAATTCATTCAAGATAGAAAAACGATATCATAACTAATACAAAGCGCCATGGTAATCTAAAGAAAAATAATCATGCTATAATTAAGCTAAATTTGCTAAAATTAAATCACAACCATTAAAACTGACTTAAAATTTGAATTAAATTAATTAAATTAATTTGAATTATAAACGTCACATAAACTATACAAACAATTTTTAATTATTAAACTAACAGTTTTAAAAATAGTTGGCTACTTAAGTATAGGGAATGTTCTTCAACAACTTTTTACTAAGAAAATATGAATAGTAATCACACATAAATGAGTGCCATATAATTGCAATACATGATCACAGTCAAATTCTTTACAGTATTATAAAAGCATCACCAAAGTTAATAATATCACTTAATAAAAAAAATGTATGCTAAATCGAAGTTCTTTTAACTAGATTCAATTGGCTGTTATTGTTGCGTTATTAATTATTTATAGTAAATTGTGCTTATACAGAAATGTAATGACTAATATAATAATATTCTTATAATGAATTTCTTTTGCTATCTTCACAGTAAATCGTGTGTAAAATTAAATATGTGACCAGGACAATTTTGCTTAAAAATTACTTTAAAAGTTTAGATATAAAAGGTTCAGTTATAATACTGGTATGTTGTCGAAATAGATTTAAATAACAACTTTGGTCGTATTTTTGGTGGTTATTTACATTAAAAGTCTCTAAAATGGTGAATGTAGTGAACTCCCTAAAACACCACAAAACCCTTTTGAAGTATTAATATGGTTTAACAGTACAGACTGGGTACGGTTGTGCCAGGTTACTATAGTGGCAATCGCCCTAACAGTTAAACTATACTGATTTTGAGATAGGGTTCAAAGGAAGAAAGATGAAGTATTTTTGTTCGAACAAGTTTCCATTATTGCTTTGAGCCAGCTCCCTACATTCACATGGGGAGCATATGTTATTTAAGAAAACAATAAAAAAGAAGGTTTTCCATATAAATATTTCTCTTTTAATCAGAATTGCAGACTTTTATTTTTTGATTATATGTACAACTTTTTTATCTATGATATTATATTATATATTATATATTTTTCGATCTTATATTTTTGGCTTTTGAGCCTTGTATAAAATTCTATTTCACTTTCTTGATAATTGATTTTAAAAATATCACTTTTCATTTGTTTTCACAATTTTTGGCGATTTACCTTTTAATTTTCAAAAAACCGGGACAATCCGGAACAAAAGATCTAAATCCGGGACAAATATTACGTTTGGAACAAACCGGGACACAATGTGAAAATTTGGGACTGTCCCGGCCAAACCGGGACGTATAGTCACCTTATAAATCATAACTAAAATTATTGCTGATAAAAAAGTGCAACAACCGTACTGGATCTCCCCTATTATGATTAGTTAAAAAAAAGCTACTAATTTTTTAACCACATTTTTAATTTTTATAGAGTTCTTTACTTCTGCATTCTGCAGTTGAAGTATAAAATTGTATGCGTTTTTACCACATCACTTCTTGGATTTCGAATGTATTATGCTATCATAATTGATTGAATACTTTGGGCGAAATAAAAAATATTAATGCGTTGAAACTGATATTTCAATAAAATCATATTTAAATGAAAAATTTAATTTTAAAAATTTCTTAATCTGTAAGTAATTTTAATATTGCTTGAACTTCAGCATCACCATCACGAATAAACCTAAAAGTCCAATACATTGTTTGTAAAGAAAAAAATATACATTTTTCACATGTATAAGATCAAGTTGTTTACGGTATCATGCATAATAAAGCAATACATATGGCACTCAAAATATTATAAATTCCTATACCTAGTATATTACAATTCTTAAACTCAAATGCTAGAAATATAGACATTTATTCACTTTATGCTACACCTACTACATAAGTTTATGAGTTTTATATATTTAATTTGAACGACGATAAAATTCACAATAATAGTAAGAATAACAAAAAAATTCAACACGATTTTTAATACTTTTATCTATAAACTCTAATACTTGTGCAGTTTTTGTGAAATCAGTCTTGCAGAATTACCGCAAAAATAATTAACAGAGATAAATAATATTTAAAATACACATATAAAATATATTAATTTGATTTAAATTGAAATTTGATACTATTATTATTTGTCATATATTCATGAATTAAAATATTATAGACAAATCATACTAATATAAAAGTGCTATTAAAATATATTAATTTATTAGCAGGTAACTTAAAACACTATGAGATTTTCTTCAATAAATAAATTTCTGCAGTATTTACACAATAACTAAATTGTTTAATAATACACGAACGCTGAGTTTTTGAAGCGAATATTTTAAAACAGTTTCAAAACGTGGGATCTCACATGAAATCTTCAGATATATTACTATTGCCTAAGATAATTTTCTTTGAATTACCTTCAATTTTGGAGCTGCAATTAGACAAACCGAATCGGTAAATTTGCTTTTAAGCAAGGTTGGAACTGACACACAAATTGCACCTTTAACCATAGGCATATGGTGCTATGTCGAAATTAATTTTCTATCGAGAGATCTATGACGATCTGCATGCTTGCAAACCGCTTTTCATAGGATTCTGTAAAAAAATGTTAAAAAACAATTAAATATTTATCAAATGTTAAATATTATCGTACTTGTCTTCCTAAAAATAAACAGAATTCGAAGAATGCATAATACTATTAAAATATATTTCATAAATATGTATACTCCTAGACAATAAAGATACATATCATACGCCCAGTGCACATGACACCAGATTTCTTGAATATTGCCAGGACAATACAAACCAAATTTTACGATATTGCCAACCATATATTACGTTTAAGCTCGCTTTTTACCACGGCATTATCCTTAACATATTTCTGTCTATAACTTGTTGCCTAGCACAGTCGGAAAATAGTTTCACACCGGTCTTAGTAATCGAATTCTTTTCCCGTATTTTACGAATAGAGGGTGTCCTATTACTAATAGGACACCTAATAGGTTATTAGACGATGGATGAACTGTTAGGAAGACAACACTTTCTGCCAATTACAAAGAAACGGCTTGACCTATCGTTGCGCAAAACTGATCAACGATAGTTCTTATCGAGTTACATCGAGTGACTGAGTTTTTTATCACTGTTTCCATATTATACATTTTTATACGAGTCTATTTATTTATTTTCCTACGAGAATATGCAGTAGCAGCTCTGTTCCATGTTACTTCCATATACATATTTCTGTTAAAAAAGTCTGGTTTTGATGAAAAGCATTTATAGTAAGTGTACCATATTCCGGAATTGACTAAACGTTTGACTTTAAAGATGATTTTCAGAAAAAGTAGGAAAGCGAACCAAATATTTAAAACTGTTCTATTGATAGAGTAGACTTATAGGATTATTATAAAACAACATTTTGCATCGTAGAACACGTCATTTATAGAAATGATCTGTATTTTGCCGAAACACGTGTGTTCATTAGCCAAGTACTTTATCACCATATACAGTTTCATAAAAAATGACGAATCTTTATTAAAAACTTAACTAAAATCTTAACTAAAAATCAACACAATTTCCAGAAGATATCTTCCAACTTATTAGATAAGATAGAATTTAAAATTTTCAAAATTGGTTCTGAAATTTTCGCTCACATGTGGACGAAAAAATTTGCACTTGTACTTATTCTCTTCAATTTGCACTAATTCTAAAGAAATGGTTCAGCCGGTCGTATAACCAACAACCAATGCGAGTAAATATCAATCGAATGGCTTGAATTTTTTTTAAATCAGCTCAGCCGTTTCTGTGAAAACCTCAACAAAAGGTCGAAAATTATCCTTCCCGCACACAGAACATACTGTGTCATTTGATTCAGAATGAAACGTTGAGAAAACATAAAATTAGCAAATCGGATATTCTGGCGAAAACAATCTTTTCCTTCGAAAAGTTTGTGAGTGAAAAACTTGTGTATTTTATTACGAGAGAGTAGTTATTAACTTCCCGTGGGGTAAGTTATTGTAATGGGCCAAAAATCGGAATTGAAAATTTTTACAATTCTCGACGTTTTGAAGGTTTCTGAACATTTTGGCATACCTCAGAAAAAATGGATGTGTGTGTGTGTGTGGGTGTCCAGTGTCCAAATTTCCAGTCACGTTTTCGGGCGCACGGATCAACCGATTTGAATGGTTCAAAAAACATTCGATTCCTATTGATAGGGAGAAGAGCTCCAGCCGTTTCGGAGATACGGAGCAAAGAGTGCAGAAAATAAAAATCGACTTTTTGAGCGAACGGAGCATCTGATTTGAATGATCTAAAAAACATTCAATTAGTAATGATTGGGAGAAGGGTTTATTAGTTTTTGGCAAAGACAGGCCCATCCATTTCAAAGATACTGAGCTAAATATGTAAAAAATTTAAGTTTTTGAGAGAACTAAGCGTCCGATTTGAATGATTCAAAGAACTTTATGCTTGTCTTCAAAATAATTATTTTTTTTAAATTTTTTGTATATCGAAAATAATTCAGATTTTATTTTTAATTCTGACTATAGTTTTAATATACCTTACAAATAATTTCAACTTTGCAATTCAGTTTATATAATTCTTATAAATATTAGACAATGTTACAATATTTATAATAATCTATTGGAGAACATTCAGTATTCCTCGAACATTTCGTTACGGTACGGGAAGTTCCAGCAATTTGCCTTAAAGCACGATGCCACCCACCCCACTAATTTCAAACTTAATTATAAGAGCTAAAAATGCAAAAAACATATATTGTAATTACGTTACAATATTCTTTCATTATCAAACCTATGTACATATAAAACACGACTGAATTTAACGATAGTTGAAAATAAAAGACAAAAATATTTTAAGCCAATCTTTCGTTATTTCGTGATATGCACGGAATTACATAAACTACCTCAGTAGTGTGAACATAATTACGGTATTCATGAAATTGACAATTTCTCGAAAAGTATGTTAAATAATTAATTATAAAGTTATTTTATATTAATATTAACCAATAATTTCATAGATTTAAGTAGATTAAACTTAGCGTCACTTATAATTATTAAGAATATGGAAGAGTCTCTTGGGCTAAACAACAACGCCGTACGGGCTACGATCATAAGCTCGATACGGCTTTAAAAATTAATTGAAACATTTAATAAATTGAAACTATTTAACTAACTATATTCTTGATGTTGAATTGTATAAAAATTTTATTTGCGATGAAATGAAAATATCACGAAATTATGTACTACACCGGAATTCTGTACCTGTGTTACCTTAACTACTGTAATTTTAAGATCAAACTGAGTTTGAAATCTCTGCCACTAGCACTGCTATTATCATCTTTTATATAATCGATTCAATAATAAGTATGAATTTATAACAGTCATAAAAAACACATTAAATCTAAATGTCATTTTACTCACATTGGCCGTGTTTGGTCAGCTGTGGCTGTCACGGACTGTCGGCGGTCCGACAACAACTATTACATTTACCGCATTTGGAATTGGTTGTGGCGGAGATTGTCTCGCTGATGGTCGAGAGCCGCTCGTGCTACAGCTCCAACGGCTGTTCCTGTAAGCTCGACACCGCCGCCGTGGAGGCGCCACTGCCGGCGGTTTCACCGCACTCGGCGGAACTTATGCGACTAGAATACTCCAGTTCCAAATCATTCTTCGCCTGGTAATAAAATATTGAAAATAATTTAAGCATTAAATCAAACCGTTTTTCTATCAAAATTCTTACTAACTAAAAATGACTTACTTAATTTGTTACAAAAACTTACAAAAAAATTTTGATGGGTTTACAGATTTATAGGTTTATAAGATGTATGTGATAGTACATTACTTACTCCAACGATGCTTTATACAACTATAGTTGTAGACGCCCGACGCAATATTTATTAAAAAGTAAATTAATTTCACTACACACGGACACTGTAATTATCTCGAAGGACCAGATATAATTTATTATTAAAAAGGCTATATTAGGCTGATATAAGATAGCTGATTGAATAATGAGTAATAGTTATAAAATGATTTGTATTTCTTAGTTTGTTGTAAATGGTTCAAGCAATGCGTACAGAATGAATTCTTATAACTAGCTTAGTACCTATACTAGGGTAAGAAAATAATTTTATTGGTGTCAATTAAAGAAGATATTGTATGAAATTTGTGAGTTTAATATATAAAAAATATTGAAATATACTTATATACAAAATATAAATGAATTTTGGATTTTAATAAATATTTCAATAAGTATATACCGCATTTATCGAGACGCGCGATAACGACGAGCCTTATGCTTGCTCCTTATGCAGAAATATCTTAAATACTGATAGATGATTTCAACCAATTTATAACATGAATTTTGAATAAAACACCGAAGGGTGGTTCGAGATGTGGTTCGAGATGCGAGTGCGAAGACAAAAAGAAAGAATTCTTCCGAATAAGGCTGTGAAAAGAAAAGGAAATGAGATCGAATCCATGTTGATATTTTCTGCACGATGACTTTATATGGGTGTTCTTGTACCGGCAGCGCGTGTATTAGCTTAAATTTTTCCAACTTTTCACCACGAAGTTCCACTTACATTTCAATGAATTTTTTAATTACAGAAGAAAAATGTACAGGCTTTCGAATGATGCTAATTTAAAAGTAGTCGAAAGAACCGCACTGGCAGAAAATGGAAAATGAAAAATCATTTTTACCTTTTTACGCACTAACAAATAATTTTTTTACTTTTTTGTTATGAACAACATAGACAAGATCAGAATAAATAAAATGACGTTTACATTTTTTCGATATCTCTCATATTTCCGACAAAAAGTGAGTTTAAAAAAGGGGCCACTTTCACATGTTTTGACTGATATCTCGACCAAATGATGAGCTACGGATTTGAAATTTGGTACTTCGACTTTTCTCGAAAATACCTATAAAATGGCATCAAAATCTTTTAAATACCAGGGATGGGTCCAATTCTGTATGGAAACACGCCCATACCCTTTGGTAATAAAATCGCATCATTCATAATTGGAAATTGTGAATAAAATATTATACTTATTCAGAAAGCATTATTGAGTAAGGCGTAACCTTGAAGTTTCAACCTCCTTAACAAAAGGCATCATATGAAAACAAATTTAATATCTTTAACCTCTATTGTTTATCTTCAATCTATTCTTGATAGATTGAGATCTGCCTACAATTCTATCTAATAGGAGCAAATTGATACCGGTACAATTTGTTCAAACTCTCTCTTAATATTTTTCTCACAATTATTCAGTTTGAATATTTTAGGTAATTACTTTAGATAATATCTTTAGATAATAACCAGAAAACTTTACGCAAATATCTAGATTTTGTTTGAAAGTTTGCCATAATTAGTCAATATAGTGCTCTTTTACGTAATAAAATATTTCTATTCTTTCACCTTCAGTCGATGTTCTTCAAGATTTTTTTTCACAAGATTATGTTCACGTTGTAGAACATCAATTCTTCTCTCATAATCTTGTGCAAGTCTAACTCGTTCAGCAACACCCCTTTCGACGATTGCTGTTGCCACCTGAAGGTATAATACAATTTAATTAGAAGTTAATATTATTAATGTAGAAAAAATAACTTAGTAAAATAAGGCTTTATTTTCATAATTAAATTGTTAAATTATTTTCATTTTATATTTATGATTGTAAAAAAGCATCAGTCCTAGAAATTGAAATTAAAATTGACCGATTATTTTTTAGTTACAACTTAAATTATTATAGATGTTATCACAATTTAATAAAATAATGTATAAATCTCACTTCTCTTTTCATACGAATGAGTTCATCTCGATCTCGATGCTTTTTAGCAAGATCTTTGACTTCTTTCCGCCTCGTCGTCTCTAATATTTGTCCTAATTCCGCCGTTTCTCTATCTAGCAAAGCCTACAAACAAAATTAAAATATTTATGTTTAAGTAAGAAAATTTTTTTTAAGTAAGATTTTTTTAAGTAAGATATAATATTTATACTATGGACCTCCACTAAATTCCAAAAAATGATTTTGAAGATATCAATTGAAAACTTACTTAGTATTTAGTGAGAAACGAAATGTTTATTTTCGAAATAAATATTTAAAATTCTTATCTTAATAATTTGAATTTACCAAATGACAATTCTTTTTGGTTAAGTCGATTATCACATAGGAAAGTACATGCAACTTGGATTAGGGAAAAATACCACTCACACCTAGTAGTAAATTGAAATGTAAATAGTGCAAAAATATTATTTAAACAATAGCAATTAATGAAGAAAAGCAAACACAATAAGTTAAAACTCAAATTCGGGAGCCAGATTTACATAATTGTGTTATAACAGCTCCTGTTATTTACTTACCCTCAAAGCTTTCATCTGATTGGCCTGAGATTGTTTTAAAGCCTTTTCGGCTATGGAATATATTGTTCATGATATCGTTCCTGAAGTTCTTTGAGTTGAATAGCGTGCTCGCGAACCAGCCGAGCTAAAGCTGGACATGAAGCGGCGGCAGCCACAGCGTGACTATCTCCATCAACACTTCCTAAAGATCCCGCCGATGACCAAGGTGCGTCACTGCTGAAATTCAATAAAAAAATTTTCATAAAATGCGAAATAAACAGGTTAACTAAATTACAAACATTAACTAATAATAGTATTTATAAGTCGGCCGAACTTCACACTAATTTAAATTGGAGATCTAATTTATATAGAAGAGCAATATCATTTGAAAATGAAATAGGTACATTTTAGAATACCTTGATTCAAAAAATGATCAAAAATTAAATATCACATTCAATAATGTGGTGAAGATTTGGGAAAACGTGATGGTCAAACAGACATTCTGGTATGTCTGTACGCGATCAGATATTATAAGGCACCTCAATAAATAATATTTTTTACTATATCATCTATTACTATATTTACATATTTTTAATACTGGATAGCCTCTTCACAAGTTACTGCTCATATAGAATTTAGAAGATCTCTTCTCAGCTAATCCGCTACCCTCCAAGACTTTTGCCGTTCCTTGTCTTGTTTCTTACGCAACGATTCTAATTTTTTCTCCATCTCCAAACGTTTCTCACAACGGATTTATTTTCGAAAAGTTTTTCCAGTGTTTCAGCTTTGATGTCTTCCGCAGCTATCGCTTCGGGACTTCGCACTGGAATAGCCTGATCGAGAGCTTTTTGCTGAAAAGATAGTAATGGATTCAATTGATACCAATTAATAGAAGTATTTTAAATACTGATTTATTTCAACCAGTTTATGACATGAATTTTGAATAAAACACCGAAGAGTGATTCGAGATGTGGTGCCAGAAAATAAATAGACCGCAGTGGAAAGAATTCTTCCGAATACGGTTGTGAAAAGAAATGTAAATGAGATCGATTACATATTGTTATTTTCTCCACGATGTCATTAAAGGTGAAATATTATAGAAAAGCTAAAACAAATGAGACGAAAAAGAATGCATTCGATCAACGACTTGCGCGAGAAGAGAAAATACAGGGAAAACCAATTGCACCCGGAAACAGAAGTTGGTGATTTTACACAATGAAAACAATAATATATATATATATATATATATAATATATCTATATATATTGTAACGACAATTGGTATTGTCGTCAAAGGGTTGCACAACCCTCAGTGCAAATGTACTCCCCCACCTACTTCTATTAGGGTTCCTGTAATATAAGGTCAAAGTCAAGGGTTGAAAAGCGTAATTAAGAAATGTAACATCCTCCGAGGACGAGGAGTAACCCTTTCGTAATGGGGATGCAATGCTAAGATATAATATTTGGCAGTCTTTAGTCAATTCTAAGATATAATATTTGGCACATCCAAGAAAGCGGGCATCAACCTTCATTTGTCACAATATTCTTATTGCTAGACCTAAAAAGAGTCATGCTTTGTTTCTGTTGTTCCTTTCAAAATATCGAAAAGTTTTGTATCTACTTATCATTTATATATCATCATTAATAACGCTCTATCCAAACACTTGTTTAGAACTTGTTTCAAGGAAAGATTACATTACACTTATAAGAGTAGGTAAATACACAAAAAACGTGGTTAAATCAAATTGATGCAAACTGTCTAATAAGCTATTTTTATAATCGGCATCGGAAGCTGTCATCAAACCGAAAGTATAATATGTGATTAGTGTGTAATGTGAATCGGGCCTGAGGTATGGACATGGGCACTATTTGCACCGAGGGTTAAAGATAAGTCTAAGATAAGTTGTATGTTTTATATTAAAAATGTTTGGAATAAGTATGTAAATATGTGAAAATAATTATGTAATTAAGTGACTACCACTCTAACTAGTAGTTGTAATATTTAAAGTAGTTTTCCAGGAATAAGTGACTAATAATACAAATGATTTCGTACAATATGAATTAAGCAAATTACTAATACATATGGTATTATGGTGATTTCTTTTAGTATAATGTTTCAAACATTATGTATTTATTTTAGTTACTCACTAATGCAGCTGAAATAGTTCTGACTACTGGCATGTCACCACCGCTTTCTCCGCTGCTTGTGACCTCGTTCTGACCATCACTGAATTCTTTGTCATCATTTCCACCAGTCAGAGACGAGACAGTGGCTGCATTGGCAATGAGACCGCCGCCTGCAACCATCCCGCCCAAGGCTGTGCTGGTAACCACACTAGCCCGGTGATGCAAACGAGGACTACCGCCGGCGGTTATTGAATGAGGACTGCCGCCGTCTGATGTTAGAAGCTCTCGTCTGCAGGCGACGTTTGATACTGTAAAGAAAAATAATTAATTATAGTAATGTAATTTTTACATATTTCTTATAGAAAGGATTATTAAAGCTGTTTTTAATCGTGTGTAATATAATACAAGACTGTTGGATCCAAAACACCTATTCACGAGATGTTAACCCAAAATTGTATAATATAATACAAGACTGTTGGACCCAAAACTATTCACGAGATGTTAACCCAAAATTGTATGTTATAATACAAGACTGTTGGATCCAAAACTATTCACGAGATGTTAACCCAAAAATGTATAATATAATACAAGACTGTTGGATTCAAAACTATTCACGAGATGTTAACCCAAAATTGTATAATATAATACAAGACTGTTGGATCCAAAACTATTCACGAGATGTTAACCCAAAATTGTATAATATAATACAAGACTGTTGGATCCAAAACTATTCACGAGATTTTAACCCAAAATTGTATAATATAATACAAGACTGTTGGATTCAAAACTATTCACGAGATGTTAACCCAAAATTGTATGTTATAATAC